GACCCAGCTGCAGCTCTGCCCAGTCAGTCCCTCTCTCCCACTCTGTGGCCTGGGGAGGCCCTGACCCAGGATGGGAGACCTCTGAGATCTGCATCCTGCTGGGCCCAGGTCTCTAGGCTTCCATTTTGACACTATTCTCATCTCTTGTGAGATCTAAACCTGGTTTTATTTCTGGATGGGGGGGTCCAGTTGTTTCATCTTCTCTGATGAAGATTTGGGTATAAGTCAAGGAGGGGTGGAAACCCATGATTCTGCAGCCTCTGCTCACAGCCGCTGGCTTCCCAGAGGAGCTACATTGGTGGTTTTCCTTGGTGGCCAGGCCCAGCCCCATAGTACCCCACTCACTCCAACCTGATCTTGGTGAGACAGACAGCAACGTGGCTGGGCAGCCTTCACTGCCACCCACTCCCAAGGGTCTGAAACCAGCCAAGAGTCCACTGCAGATTCCCTGATGTTGAGTGGAAACTCTTGGACAAGCCATGGGACCCCCCTGGAGACTCTCTCCTATTCAGGAGAAAATATAACCAAGACATGTTCCTGGCTATGAAACAGCCTTCCAGGAACCTGACACCTAGCCCTAACCCAGAGGCGATTTTATATCATTACTTGTTGACTGCTCTCCAGAATTATTTGAGCCAATGATTGAATGACATTGACAGCAAGTCAGGAGCTCTCCAAACCTGTACTTCTAGGTTAAGAAAGCCCTTTACCAGCCTCTTTCATTTCATCGAGACCCCGCCTCAGCAGTGGACAACCATGGCAGATCCCTATCTCTTCAGGGTCAGAGTGTCACACATGCATACACACACACACACACACACACACACACACACACACACACTGAAGCAGCACAAACTGGGCCAAAATGTAAGAATTCAGTTTCACCTAATCATTTTTTGTTAATTATGGGATTTTCCATCATCTCAAAAGAAAATTACAGCCTCCAGACAAGCATGTATAAGTAAACAACATAAAGACACTGGCAGCAAGCGCACTGTGGGTGGGAAATCACCAGCAAGGGGAACTCTGCTCCCCTCTGTGAGTTCTGTAATTGCTGCAGAGGTGTCATTCCTGCCCGCTGACCATACTGTAAGTTGTGTAAGATGCTGTCGAAAGAGCACAGGGTTGAGAGGCAAGAACCTCAAGTTCCAAACCCACAATGGCCCCCAAGTAGCTGTGTGACCTGGGGTGAGCTCCTTAGCATTGCTGGCTGTTCTGTTTCCTTCTGCAAAATGAAGGATGGCCTGTAGAATTTCTGTCTTAGATTTCTACGGTGCACACAGCCTGGCCCTGTACCACCCAGGAAAGGCTTATTGAGTACAAATGGAAAAGACCTAGCGTGCTTTTTGTTAATAGAACCCCAAATCTGGCTTAAGATTTGGTGAAACAGGCTACCATTTCCCAACAAGTCCATCAGGAAATTTGGGTAAAATGCATATTTGGGGTCACACGTCTTGAAATTTTCTCTTTCTCCAAGCCAATTTTTAGCCCTTGGGGTGAAGGGGAGAAGGATAGAAATGAGAAATAGGAGTAACTAAGACAGCAGTGGAAGGACCGCTGTGACAGAATCACTGAGAGGGAGGCTTGTTGTATCACTGTGACCTGAACCATCCCAGGCTGTCTTGGATCTATCTCTAGGTGGTGAGCCCAGATATGGGTCCCTGCCCTTGGGTGGTGCGTGATGACAGTGGCATGTGTCTGACCAGAGACTGAATGCAAACCCAGACACTGCTGCCGAGCAGAGAACAGGCAGAGGTGCTTTCAGATCACCTCTGCATGAACATGACTGGCGAGGGCCTGTCCCACCATCGGAGAAAGGAGGACAGCCCTCTGCAGGTCAGGCACACAGGCAGGGTGCCTGGGCCCTGCATCCAGGCAGCAACCCCAAAGCTCTGGGAAATGCTTGCTTTCACCCCTGGAGAACCTCACCCCCATGGGGTTCTCGTGTCCCCAACACTCCCTCCTCACTTCTTCAGGACTCAGGGGACTGGAGAACCTGGAAAGCCCTTCAGGAAGGGTTTTCCCAGACTTGATTCTGAGGACAGTCACATACTTGTCCTAGAATATTTGCCTTCTGAGTCCTCCTGACCCCAAGGGGACACAGCCCAGAGGGATGAAAAGCTCAGCTTCAGAGTCAGGCCAGCTCTGCCCCTCACCTACCTGGTGGCTGTGGGGAAGCTACATGTTTCTTCTTTCATAAAATGAAAACATTAGGGTCAACCCAGCAGGCAATTAGGTGGATTAAATGAGATAATGCATGGACAGCACTTAGGCCAAGCCAAGAGCTAGCTTACTTTTAGTATGATGATTACACAGAGCTACGAAAAAAAAAATTCTCACAGATTAGACCAATAGCAGCCCTCAGCAAAAATCTGTCTTCCAGGTCAGGTCACATGGCTGGAAAAGGCCAGGAACTCGAAAATAAAAGAAAGCCTTGACTCTCCCAGGAAGTGGCTGATCCTAGGACTGAGAGTGCCACAGCTGTTTTAAAGGTTATGGAACCCACCTGGTCCTCACACAGCTGAGGAAACAGGCTGAGAGACTGTGGGTGACATGCCTGAGGCCACACTGCAGTTTGTGACAATACTGAGACAACAGGACATATTTTCTAATTTCTTCCTGGTGTGGCCATTATTTCCTCAGATGTTAATTGTGTTTAGATGGTTGCACTTTTTCTTTCCCTCACCATTCCAAGGTGAGTATCAGGACCAGACAGAAGCCACCCTCAGGCCCTTTTCTCCTTAGCCTGTTTTCCTGAGCCTGAAATCCTTGTAGACTCTGAGGGAATGTCTTCAGGGTGCCTTGGGAGCAAAGAAATGACAGGGGGAGGGACCAGGGGAACAGGAGTGCAGGAAAAGAATGGAGACCTAGGTTCTGGGCCTTCGGGAAAAGGTAGGCCTCAGTGGTGGGCGGGGAAGGAGGGCAGGGCCCTGGGCACAAAGACCTCAAACGCAGCCTGAGGGCAGAGTCTAAGCTTTGCTGGGCACTGGAGCCCATGTGAGTGTACTGCCCACAGAAGTGCCCCTTTCTTGAGTAGCCCCATAAGCCTCCTTAGTTTTCCGGGTGACCCTTACCAAGAGGGGGCTATAATGACAACAATGGAATTTCCTTCCCAGTAGGCAAGATGGGAGTTCAGGATTGGAACTGAGTTGATCTCAAGAGTGTTTCTTGCCCTCTTGGGACAGTGGGTTGAGATTCACACTATCCACATAAGGCACTGCTCTGTCCGCTCCGTGACATCATTCCCTATGACCATATCACCCATTTATTTGTATGGTGCTATACAAAGTGTCTTCCCAATCATCCATTCAGTCTCTGAGATTCTGCCTGTTAACCAGACAAAAAAAACTAGGATTCAGAAAATGGACCAACTTGCTCAAGTTCATATAGGTAGTAAGAACTAGGATGAAAGCCTGAATCTCCTGACTCCTAGACAGTGATTTTTATAGCACATCACTGCCCACTCTGTCTGGCTGCCAGCTGAGTCCACTCTCTTGGCGAGCGTCACTCACTCTCACCCAGGTTACCCCACCAGACAGGCCTCCAAGGCAAAAACAAGGCCCGAGGGTGCATCTGCACAGGCCCACCCTCCCTGGGGCTTCGGGTGGGGGCTGCCCTGCCTTGGTGACTGCAGGACACAGTTAACAGTTTTCCGTGTGCTCCTCTGACACTACACGTCAGCTTGAATGGAAACCAGAGGGCTAGACATCGACAAAACTCCAATAGCTGACTGGGAAATCAAAACAAAAAAAGTACGACTGGCCAACAAACAGATGAAAAATTGGTAAACCAACTAGCAATTAAGAAATGCCCACTAAATTTATATCATTGTTGTTGCTGTTATGCCTATTAGGTTGGCAAAGTCTTTTTTCCCCTAGAGTATTGATGGAATATAAATTAAAAAAACTTTATACACACACATATTTAAAAGTACTCACAGCCTAAATATAACATGGTGTCTTGGATTGGATCCTGGATTGGAAAAGGGACATTAGTAAGAAAACTGCTGAAAGTCGAATAAAGCTTGGAGTTTAGTTCGTAATAGCATACCAATTTTAACTTACTAGTTTTGACAACTATACTTTGGTTAGGTAAGATACTAATTGGGTGAGGGCTACATGGGATCTCTCTGTACTATCTCTGTAAATCTAAAATTATTTCAAGAGAAAAGGTTTAATTTTTTAAATGTTCACATTCTTTTACTCCAAATTTCACAGCTAAGACTTTATCTCAAAACTTATCAGAGATGTAGATGGACACTTATGTACAAGGATATTGCACAATTTTGGATAAGCACAAAATAGAAATTATCTACATGTCTATCAGGTTGACCAAATAAGTTACAATGTACCCAATGATGATAGAATGTGGTCAGAAAGAATCACATTATAATATTTATTGATGTGGAAAATGCTTACGATAAATAGTAAAGTGAAAGATTAGGACACAAAACTATATATATTTTAAGCTCAATACAACTTTTAAATGATGTACCTAAACAAGAAAGAAATATACCAATATACTAAAGGTATTTATTAACGGTCATATAAAGTGAATTTTATTTTCTTCTGAATACATTTATATACACTATAAATTTTCTTATTTCTTATACTATTATTAATAACATGAACATGTTATTTATATTAATAATCAGGGGAAGGTATTAAAAATCCCCAACCCGTGGTAGTTCCTCAAAAATTTAAACACAGAATTACCATATGACCTGGCAATTCCACTACTAGGAATATACTAAAGAGAATTGAAAACATATGTACACAAAAGAAAACTTATACATGAATGTTCGTGCCAATATTATTTACAATACACAAAAAGTAGGAATAATTCACATGACCATCAGGATAAGCAAAATATAGTACCCCCATATAATGGAATATTATTCAGGTATAAACAGGAATGAAGTACTAATACATTCTTGAGCATGGATGACCCTTGAAAACTTTATGTTACGTGAAAGACACCAGACACAAAAGGCCACTTACTGTATGATTCTATTCATATGAAATGTCCAGAATAAGCAAATACATAAAAACAGGAAGTAGATTAGTGGTTGTCAGGATCTGGGAAGTAGGGAGTGATGTCCAGAGTTTCTTTTTGGGGTGATGAAAATGTTCTGAAATTAGATAGTGTTGATGGTTACACAACCTTGTGAATATACTAAAAATCACTGAACTGTACACTTTAAAGGGTGAATTTTGTGGCTTGTGGATTATTATTATTTCACACACAGAAAAGAGAAAAAAAATTCCCCTACCCAAATGCCACACATCTCACTGCTTCTCATAATTTAAAAAAAATTGTTTTTCGGACTTCCACCAAGATGGAGGCATAGGTAGAGACGCCATGCTTTCTTACACAACCAAGTTTAGAGACAACAAAATATTAGCAACAGAAAACACAGCCAGAACACAGAAAATTGAACTTTTCGGAAGTCTGATAACAACAAATTCCTCAGCCTGACTGGTAAGAGGGGTGAAGCCAGCAGCTGGTAGAGCGGGGCTGCACAGGAAAACTCGATCAGACAAACTCAGGCTCACGGATCCAAGGTGTGGGGTTGCAACGGGCGGACCCAGTGAGCGACCCAGTGAGTGACCAGCAGAACCAGCGAGGTTGACTGTGGACTATGCATTCGTGCGCAGATAGACCAGCGAGGGAGTGGGCAGTGAGACGAGACCAAGCAGGCCCCAGCAGTGAGAGGCAGCAGAGGGAGCCGCCATTTCCCGGCTCTGACCCTGCCCCCACATACAGCGTCACAATCCAGCAACCTGGGTGGCCCCACCCTGGTGAACACTTAAAAATCCGCTCCTCCTACTTAACGGGCCCAAACAGACCAAAAATGGCTCAAGAAGATCTCAAAGCCCCAGAGCCCATAACTCTAAGCAACCAAGAAATAGCCAAACTTTCAGATGCACAGTTCAAAACACTGGTGATCAGGATGCTCACAGAACTGGTTGATTTTAGTCACAAATTAGAGGAACATATGAAGGCTAAAATAATTGAAATGAAGGGAATTGCACAGGAAACCAATAGTGATGAAAAGGAAACTGGGACTCAAATCAAGGGAGTGAACCAGAAGGAAGGAAAAAATGACCAAACAGGAAAATATGAAGAAACAAGAATTCAAAAAAATGAGGAGAGACTTAGGAACCTCCAGGACATCTTTAAATGCTCCAACATCCAAATTATAGGGGTACCAGAAGGGGGAAAGGAACAGCCACCAGTGGAAAACTTATTTGAACAAATAATAAAGAAGAACCTCCCCAATCTGGCAAAGGCAATAGACTTCCAGGAAATCCAGGAAGCTCAGAGAATCCCGAAGAAGTTGGACCCAAGAAGAAACACACCAAGGCACATCATCATTACATTAGCCAAGATGAAAATGAAGGAGAGAATCCTAGAAGCAGCAAGAGATAAGGAGACAGTCACCTACAAAGGACTTCCCATCAGACTGTCAGTCCCATCTACTGTCAGTGGATTTCTCAAAAGACACCCTACAGGCAAGAAGGGACTGGAAAGAAGTATTCCAAGTCATGAAATCCAAAGACCTACAACCAAGATTACTCTATCCAGCAAAACTTTCATTTAGAATGGAAGGACAGATAAAGCGCTTCTCAGATAAGATCTAATTCAAAGAGTTCGTCATCACCAAGCCTTTATTAATGAAATGTTAAAGGGACTTATCTACGAAACGAAGATAAAAAAATATGAACAGTGAAAGGACAGCAAACTCACAGTTATTAACAACCACACCTAAAACAAAAGCAAACTAAAAGGACAGCTAGATCAGGAGTGGAAACATAGAAATGAAGAAAGATCTCATGGAGGGTTAGCAACAGGGGGGTGGGAGGAGGAGAAGGGGGAGAAGGTACAGAAAATAAGTATCATAGACAGTAGGTAGAAAACGGATAGGGGGCAAGAATAGTATGGGAAATATAGAATCTAAAGAACTTGTGACATATGGACATAAACTAAAGGGGGGGGGAATGGTGGGGGTGGGAGGGTGGAGGGGAATGAAGGAGGGGAATAGAACAACTGTAATGGCATAATCAATAAAATAAGAAAAAAATTTTAAAAATTGTTTTCCTTACTTGGAAATAATGCTCAGTGGGTAGAACCCAGCTGCCCCCAAGTCCAGCCCCTGTAGGCAGAGCAGGTAGCCATCTGTTTATGCAGTGGATGGAATTCTGAGATATTCCTTCCTCACCAGTTCATTTGTTCATTTGTTTGTTCCTTTCTTCCTTCCTCCCCTTTCTCCCTCTCCTACTAGAGCTAAATTGCCCAGGGGGGCCCTTGGTGAAGAGCTAATCTTTATTATTTTTTTTAATAGAGAAGGGAGGGAGAAAGGGAAGGAGAGAAACATTGATGTCTGAGAGATACATTAATCGGTTGGCTCTTGAATGCCCTCAACCAGGGACCTGGCCCACAACCCAGGCATGTGCCCTGAATGGGAATTGAACTAGCGACCCTTCTGTTTGCAAGCTGGTACTCAGTCCACTCAGCCACACCAGCCAGCGCAAGAGCTAATCTTTCGAATTACTTGAAATAGACACCCTATCCCATTAAATCTCCCCTATTAAATGCAAGTTTCCTGGAATTTTAAATTTACTACCTGTGTGGGGATTAATTGATTGGAGTCTTCATAAGAGCAAAGACAAAAGAAAGGTATGGACCAAAGAGAATGGACCAGTGTCCATTCTGAGAGAATGTCAATGTCACTGACCCCTGTGGGTCAAGCGCCTGAAATTGTGGTCATTCTGCCCAATGTCTCCCACACCAATAGAATTAAACCATGTTCAGTAAAGAAGAAACTTTCTTTGGCCAAGGAATGGAACTTGTGCTCTATAGATCCCTTCTCCCAGATTCTAGGGAGTTAGAAAGTCTCAGTTTGGGATAAGTTAGGTGGGTTCAGGGGCAGAGATCTTCAAGGAAAGAGTGGAGAGTTATCAGACTTTCAAGGGAGCATTTGCAGTTCCCAAACATGCTTGGAACATGCCTGGCCAAACATCTCATTTTAAAGTTAAATCTCCACCCCCTGATGTGATTGTTTGCATGCTAATGAATGAAAGTTCATCAAAAGGTTGCTTGGGAAGGGGCTTCAAATGACATCTGAGAGAGAATTCCATCTTCCTAAATTCCCAATGGGACTATCAGCACAGAATCCAAACCAGCCAACAAAACTCTATCTGGAGATCACACAAGGAGGCTGGAGATCACACACTACCCTCTACCCAAAAGCAGCCTTCCTGTTCCCAAAACCCAATTTTCCTAGCCTTCATGGGCAAGGATTCTTCTGATCTTTTTTCTTTCGGGGGGTGGGGGACAGGGTGGTGTTTATGTTAGCTACAGCCAAACCAATTAAGCCTGAGAAGCATGATGCCATGGTACCAATAATTCCCATTATTTAGTGAGTGTCTACCATGTACCAAGAACAGTGTGGGGCCCATCACATATATAAATCTAATTCTTATTTCACAGATGCAGAAACTAGGACCACTCAGAGATGAATACTATGTCTAGAGTTCCACAATTAAAGAAGATGAAAGGGAATTCAGGTCCAGTTTGATCTAGCTTCCAAGTCTCCCCTTCCTTCCTTCCTTCCTTCCTTCCTTCCTTCCTTCCTTCCTTCCTTCCTTCCTTCCTTCCTTCCTTCCTTCCTTCCTTCCTTCCTTCCTTCCTTCCTTCCCTTCCTTCTCTTCCTTCTCTTCCTTCTCTTCCTTCTCTTCCTTCTCTTCCTTCTCGTCTCTTTCTTTTGGATTTGAATCCTTGGACAGAGAACTGATTAACCAAATTCTTCAGTTCATGGCACTTGATCACCATTGGTCCATGCAAAGCCCCTCTCTTTACTATCCAAGTTATTATTTTATTATTCTTCCCACTGCTCAAAATCATGACTCACCTATGATAGGGTTGGGCCTCTCACTAACTGGCATGCAGATATTTGGGAGAGTCAAACCTTGATTTTCTTTGTTTTCTCGAGGATCAAAATCCAGTTTGACCTGTCCAAATTTTTCCAGGTGACTCTCCAGCACTCCCCTCAATTGGCCAACCCATCAGCCGTGCTGTGGGCTCAGCTCTGGGCTGGGGTGAAATGTGGAACTGGTAAGAAAGGGAAAGATCCAGCCTTCACCCTTAGGAAGTTTAAAATTCATGTATGTCCACTCAGCAAATATTTATGGTGCACTGACTTCATGTGCCAGGTTCAGAGATAAAAAGATGGATGTAACAGCTTGTGTTCTCTGAGAGCTAAAGTCCAGTGGGGGAGAAGACAACTAAGCAGTTTTACCTGTGTCACAAGCCTGTGGTAGGGGAGGTACAGGAAAGTCAGGTGGACACAGAATCCAGGCCTGGGCATGGCTCAGATAGTAGCATTAATCCAGAAATCAGGAAGAAATATAAATTTATAAGTACAATTGTTTCTGCTATATGCCTCAATTCTATAAGTACAATAATGAGAGATAGGATTTACATCAGATTTGGAGGGGAAGTATGGAATGGCTAGACTCAAAGTGCAAACTGTATGGCATGTAATAAATTAAATGTGAGCAGCCCAGGGGCACACCAGAGAAAGAAACAATCATCCTAGAGTAGACCTGTGAGCACGGGGGGCCAGGCGGGCCTGGATGGAGGCCTGAGTGTTGAATGGGACACAGAGGTCCCCATATGCAGATGCCCTCACTTGAGAATACAAACAGGGTATCTAATATAAACCTTAATCAAGATCCAGCACAGAAAGCTCTGCCCTGCAGGTGGCAGTCCCAGCTGGGTTGCCTCCCACACGAGTCACTCTACAGGTGGCTGGGATAAGTGGGAGTGGGGGCATTTTAGCCATCAGTGGTGACTGTCCTCCTAAGTACACAGCTGCCCGGAAGGTGAAAAGGGAGCAGGAGGCACACCCTGATCTGCCCCAGACAGGAACTAGTGTGCCAAGGGCAGAATCTGCTCACTGGGGGCTGCCCCCTGGGCTACGAGAAGGCCTCCCAAATCTACAAGACCTTATGGGGACACCTAAAAGGTTCTTTAACTCAGACAGGGAATCATGCTTGGAAGTGGAATGACAGTTTCCTAGACTTTGCCCATGCAGCAACCACAGGAGGGGGTAAAGGTTTTGACATC